CTGAACCAGGTTATCTTCAGCAATGTTAATGTTAGGTTGTGTTGGAATATGTTCTTGATTAGCAATCAAGTAAGGACCTTCCATTGCAGGATTATTTGCATGCATAGATGAGTCACCAGAAACCAAAGAGGGGTTAAGTACCATTGAATTTTGATCCTGAACTGGATGTTCATTAACCTGTTGATTATTTTCTTGGTGGTGGTCATCCTAGACAGGCCACTGCTACCCCCAACCACCCTCTGCTTCTGATGGATCTTACTACTGCTCCTTTGGTGCATCAACAAGCACATCATGCCAGCCAAGTGTCGAATAAGGTGGGAGAGCCCAAAAGTGTTGAACTAGCTGAAATTCTCCCGGCATAGGGTGGGGATAACGTCAGGTGGCATGATATCTTCTCAGGCGATAATTGTTCAGCAAAGGCAGCAGTCGAAATATAAAAAGCGATAGTCCAAGAAACAACGGCCCCGCCGATGTTTGCAAACTAAAGGAAAACAACACCGCGATACAAGTTGGTTGTCAGGGAAAGATGCATACACCAGAGATCTCACCAGTCTATCATCCTTAGAATTCCAGTATTGAAACTGACCAAAAGTACCAACAATTTCAACAAGGTTTTCCTCATTACGGTAATCTAGCAGGACTCCAACGAACATAAGCCAACCAATTATGTGCCCTTGAAGAGCTCTAAAACCCTAAACATCATCGTGCTTAATAAACCTGACAAAAACCCATTGCCATACTGATCTAAACCAAGCGTCCATGAAGCATGTTTAATCAAAGCACTACGAACTACCGGATTTTGCATCTCATAGAGACTGACTCCTTGAAACCACGTTTGAGCATAGAATGCTAGTAGCTATAGATTTTGGGTGATGAAGGCGTGCACTTGCTGTTGTCAGAGAGTAACATCCTTGATCGACGGGGCCGGCTAAACAATGCCGACCATGAAATATTCATGGCGACGAGGCGATGCCCGAGCCGGCATGTAGTACGTCCGAGGCACTCGCAACGTCCCTCCGTTGATGATGTCCTGTATGGCAAGGAGAAAGCGCCACGGATAAAGCTCGTACACAACCATCGGGTTTGGCAGTGCAGACTACTGCGGTGGACTTTATTGCTGAAATTATGTGTGAATTAACTACTTTTGTTGAAACGGTATCATGCATGATCATCCAACACATGCCAAATTTCTCAATACACCACTTGAGCACTACGGCTGCATGGAACTTTGCTTTGTTAATAAGCTTGCTACTGGGAGTTTTGCAATAGCCACCGGTGTGCCACTAGGAAAACCTATTGTTGCGGAGGGCAAAGAAAACCCAATGCCATGGAGTGACAAGGAATAACTGAGGAGGTGTTCAAACATGTTCCTAGTGGATCTAACTTTGTACTTCCTACTGCCAGTGTCACTCAGGACCCTTCACCTACTTCAACTAAGAAGAGCAAGAGGGGTGTTTTTTGACCAAGGAATAATCAATCCAGTGTAGCAACATGTCTGATTCTGTACGTGAGATTGCTACTAATATCAACAACACTTTCCATGTTTAAACACATCTTGACTTGTACAAAGTTGTGATGGGCCTTAACTTTGATCCTGACAAGCAGTTGGTTGTTTTAGATTATCTCACATAACATAAGGGAAAGAGTATTAATTTCGTGAAGACCGAAGATGATGTTCGCAAAGTATCGTTCAACCATATCTTGAAGAACAATCACGATCATATTTGCGTTGATGTTATTTGTTGCATGTTCACAAACTATCTCTTTTGTAATGCCTATTATAAGTTAAATCTAGAACGAGCCTACGTAATATGAATCATGAATCTAGTTGAATTTGAAATTGGATGCTTTATTAGTTGAGTGTTCAGGTGTGTTTTCCCATATTTACATTAAGTCGATATGTTGTATTCGCAGCAAAACACTATTGCTGCAGGCTATTTCTGATTCAGGCTACCAAACCATTATCAGCCCAACATGTAGCCAGATGCAAGCTACCAAATAAAGTCTTGACACATACATTGCTGTCAAACAACTGTAGTTACTTGTAATCAGCATATCTAGACTCGGCATATATCTCAAAGGGGAACAACCATGCTACGATGAGAACAAGTACCAAACACATCCTAAAAAGGAGAGAGAGAATCTTATGAAATTGTTATGCAATACTGTAAATGAGGATAGAGAGAGTTGACTCTGTGGGGTTCGTTTAATTTGCTCGCTTTGTAGGCTTTTAGATGTTTTTCGAATGGGAATGACAAGATGTCAGTGACTAAAAAATAAATTTGGGTCAATCGACTCGTACGAGACATCGGGTGCAAATTGAATGATCAGATTAGCTTCTTCAACTTCCACATGTTTTCATTGTTCATCTTCTTTCTGGAACAACTGATCTAGCACCGGCCTAACCGTCTGCTGCCGCCACTTGCGGCAGGCAACACCACCGCGTCGGCCTCGCCACTTGCCCTCCTCCCAGTCATCGCCCACGACCGTGCTGCCGCTGCCCCTGACCATCCCTTTAACCCTAGTCATGAACCATTTTTTCTGACCAACATGCATTCCCACACCTAAGAGCAACTCCAATGCGCTGACCCAAGCGAGTAGTGATTTTGTCTGCTTTTTGTCCATTTGGGTCGGCCGCCTGCTCAGTGTCCGCCCTGTTTAAGATTTGGGTCGGTAGTGCGCCCAACACGTCGACCCATATTTGCCGGCATGGACGACTGGCCGCCGTTTTTTCAACAAATATACACACATTTTTCATATTTTCACAAGCAAACAAAAATAGAAAAGTTTCACAACCAAATAAATTTAGCATAGTTTTACAAGCTGAATAAAAATTAAAATGTCTCCAATACATTTAAATATATATATATCTATTGGTTGCCAACATGAGCCCACAAATGCTCAACCAAATCATTTTGCAGTTGTGGCCGTTAATGGTAACATTCACCGGCGGGTTGTTGCCTTCCGCACGCATTGCAAACACTGGCGAGCGTTGAAGCACGTTGATATCATTGTGCGATCCAGACATGCCGAAGAAAGAGTGACAGATCCAGAGATCTTGTGAGGCCACGACCTCAAGTATGATAGTGCAAGCCCTGACATGGCCCTTATACTGCCCTTGCCAAGCAGAAAGGCAGTTCTTCCATTCCCAGTGCATGCAGTCTATGTTGCCAAGCATCCCTAGGAAGCCCCTACTGGCATTCATTGCCAACAAGTGGGCTGTATCTTGAGCAGTCGGCTCGCTCAAGTACTCAGGGCCAAACACGACAATCACAGTCTTGCAGAACCTGTACATAGACTCTAGGCATGTAAACTCGCTCATACGGACGTACTCATCAATGAGATCACCGGGCACTCCGTATGCAAGCATCTGGATGGCTGTGCATTTCTGATAAGATGAGAAGCCAATCTTTTCAAGGGCATCCTCTTTGCACTCGAAATAATTATCGTATCCGACCACCCCCTCTCTATTACAGTTGAAAATATGCATAGTCATATGATACGGAAACTCAGTCGGAGTTTCTGATGTTTGAACACCGGGTTGGTTGTGTGAAAGTAGTCCTTCCAAAGAAGGAAATGACCGCTCTCTCGGTTGTGATTCAACGCCGAAGTGTGCCCCGGGATCGAGCCCCGGAATAATGGTCGCTGCCCATTAACGTGGTCATGGACCAACACGACAGCCAACATCTCCTCATCATCATCGGACGAGGAATCGTCGGAGTCGCACAGGAAATTGTGGAAAAAGAACTCGTCGGCAGAGTCCGTTTTGTACCTTGAGGCAAACTGTCGAACAACATGTAGGCGTCGATGAAGAAGTTGGCCGGCGAAGAGATGCGTGACTCCTCTGGACCAGTGGATGGCCTGGCGGCCTCCGACGAGCGTGACGGCGTCAAGCCAGCGGGCGGTGTCGGACGAAGGAGCTGGCCGGGGCGGGGGAGGCACCTTCCTGTTTGCGGCACGTCGGAGTGGAAGGGGGGCACTGCCGTGGCTCGGTGGCGAGGTGGTGGTGGCGGCGACGTGGGAGGTGGCGGCAACAGGGGGAAGTTGTGTAGGCACGGGCTGCTGGCAGAGGCACCAGAAATGGGCGACGGTGGCAACGGGGCGGAGCGGGCGAGGGCTTGCTGTCGATAGGGGAGGAAGAGGATGACCAATGTGCCATCGACTGGCGGGCCAGGGGGACGAGTAGGCGAGCGTCGTGCGCGTCCGCTTCGTGTCCGCGCCAATGCAAATCGGTCTCCAAATTGAGCGAGAAATGGGTCGGCTGGCGGATGAAAAGCGGACGCGCGTCGACCCAAAGGGCTTCTCCGACGAGCCGGCAACTGCTTCTTTCTTTTCGCTTCTTAATTCAAAATCGACTGATTCAAAACCTTTTTTGTGACCACTTAGAGCATCTCCACTCGGCCCCCCAAGATGCCCCAAGCAACTTTTTTAGCATCGACGGTAAAAAAAGGGTCCCAACCACGCCCCCAAAACGTCGTTTCACGTCGGGTTTTGGCAAAACTAGCCCCGACGACCTCAGGCCAAACCCAGGGAGCCAGGGGTCCGCCAGGGACGCCGGCGCTATTATTTGCATGCAACAGAACCACTGTCAGCCTCACACTCCCTCTCTCCTCTCTCTCTCTTGTATGCAAGAGGCCCACCCATGTACATGCCTCTCGCCCACTTAATCTCTTTCTTTTCTCATCTCTCTTGTCTTCTAGTATTGCGTGGAGGCATGGCTGTAAAGCCAAAATTTTCGTCGGCATGGCATGACCCCAACCGGCCGAAAAGGTGGCTCCTTGAGGGCCAACGAGTGGAGATGATCTTGCAAGTTCAAATTCGAAATCACCGAGAGTTTTAACTTGTAGACATGTAGCGTACGAGATACGCAACGCTCTCTCTTTGCCTTTGTCAGACAGACCTGCCGTCTACAGTGCGTGCTGCACAGCTGTTCGCTGCCAGGAGCCGTCCACAGTACCCAAACATCCGTCGCACCGCACCAAGCTCCAGGACACCCCGCAATGTCGCTCCGGCGGCGCCTCCTAGGCCTCTCCGCCCACATCCGCCGCTCCCTCTCCACCGCCGCGGCCTCCTCGCAGTCGCACCCGCCATGGGCGATCATCGACGGCACGTCGATGGTCGACAGATCGTCGTCGGCCCCGGTGGCGTGCTTCCGCCCCGTCCAGCCTCCAGGCGTCTCCGACTTCACGGCCCCGGCGCACCTCCTCAGCCCCAGACCACGCCCCGCCGCCCCCGACAGCAACGTCGTCCAGTCCCTCTTCGGCAGCGTCGGCGCCGTCAGCGGCGACGGCCACCTCCTCCTCACCTACCACGACCTCCGGGCGGAGGGCCCCTGCACCAAGTGGGATTTCGCGCGGGACCTCGAAATCCAGCGCTTCGTCTGCAACCCTGTCAGCGGGCAGATGCTCCGCCTGCCCGACATCGGCCGCTCCAGGAGGACCCTCGTCGTCCACCACATGGGCCTCCTCACCCAGGGCGCCGGTGGCGGGCCGCCTGACAGGTTCGCCGTCGCCGATCTCCTTTCCCATGGCGCCATCATTCCGCGGTTTCTCTCGGAGGAAGGGGAGTGGAGGACGGTGATTCGGGCCACACCATCCTTACGGCTGCCGCGCCTGATGGAGGTGAACCAGGAGACGGTTGCCTTCGGCGGCCGCCTGTGGTGGGTCGACCTCACCCTGGGCGCCATCTCCGTCGACCCGTTCGACGACCGGCTGAAGACAAGCTTCGTCGAGCTGCCGAGCGGCAGCGTGCTGCCTGCGCGCGCACCTACAGACAGCCAACATTTTGGGGACAGGCGTCGAGCTGCCGATGACCAGAATCTGTTCATGCGGGAGGTGGCCAAGCACCGGCGCATGGGCGTCAGCGAGGGGAGGCTGCGCTATGCCGAGGTGTCTCCCCACGACCCGTTCGTGCTCAGCTGCTTTGCGCTCGACGACGAGGGCAGCAGCTGGACGCTGGAGCACGAGGTGGCGCTCAAGCAGGTCTTGGCTGATGGAGGCTACCCGTCGGCGGCGCCACAGATCGCCGTGCTTGACCCACTTCACACCAATGCCATCTACCTCAAGGTCGGTGAGCACCTCGTCGTCGTGGACATTCACAATGGGAAGGTGATTGGGGCATCGCCGCTTCAAGAGCAATACCTCTCTCTTGTGTCATGTGTGCTTCCACCATGGCTTAGATCAAGCCAGATCCCTACGGCAGGTATGTATGTGACACCAGCTTGTTTAATCTATATAAGTTTCAGTTTGTATCTGCTGGTGCATTACTTGAGTGTTGTGTGCTTGGACAGAATTTTGCGATTTGTTCATCGTAATGTGGAAACATACAAAGGGATGAATGTTGTGATTGGAAACTAATGTGGGAGGCATGCCATAGATGGTAGTGATGAATTGAGCGTTGCCACTAATATTCCAAACTTTAGATTGCAACAGACTTGGATATATTGGTGCTACTGATCTACTGAGACCGACTACGATATACTGCAGTTTGTTAGAAGATGTATGCGTGTTATGTGTTAAGCAGTGGTGTTCATACTAGCGAGTGCGCTCGTGTATTTATCGAATCGTGTCTGATACTCTGATTAGGTGAGCACAATGGTACATTTCCCTGAAGATTAAAGGAATTCTGTTCCCACGACTAGCTAGCAGTAGTCTCCTTCGGTGACCTGTTGCAGTTAAGGACGATGTCTAAACAGTAAACATGCATACATGATGCAGCTGTTTGGTTTCTGAATTTGAAATTTACACTACATGTTATTTCCACATCCCTATAGTTTAGTTCAGAAGATACCTTAAGGATGTTGTCTTCACTTCACGACTCTTGTGCACCTCTTTTTAGTTTTTACCGAACTTACCACCCAACTTTTGGCTTCTAAATAAATTGTGTTCCTCTCATCAGTGTCAAGCTATGTGAGCAGTGCAGTAAACTGTGCTAAATTCTTGTTAACCTGTTTTATGATCAGTCATTTCCGCCCGCTCATTTCTTATAAGCAGTGTATAGTTTATACTGTTAAAATTGTTCTGGGTTAGCACAAGTTTTATCTGTCCTTGAAGTTCTTGTGCCTTGACAGGGATTTTTTTTTTCCAGGCAAGAGGGATGACATGGAAGCGACAGATGATCTGGTTAGTTGCATCTAGAAGTGGTGAATGAGTATCAATCTACCAGCTTATGTATCTCTGGGTGGGTACTAGTATCTTATAGTCTCTTATCTAATGCTTCTTTGCTGATCCATTATTAGTATTGTACATTCGTTTTGTGAGTACTCAGGAGTCAGGATGCTTTGTGCTTCCTTGTTGTAATGATGACCACTCTTTTCTTTTTCTTGCAATATTACCAACAATCCTAGAAAGTTTAAAACTGAGGCTTGTTGTTTGCAAACAAATGATAATTATGTAATTTGCTGCTATAAGTTTCAGTTGTGGATGTGAGATGTATAAATGGACTATGACGGCAATTGTGTTCATTCAGCCTTTTGTTTTCATTTTCCATGTTGAGTCAAGCGCCCCTCATATTTTTATCTACCTTTTCAGGTTCTGGAACTAATAGATGCAAGGGTTGTGCTATTAGGAAGCTGATGGTGGTTTGGAGAAAATCTGCAGAAGTTCGGGTTTATTGTTTGTTGATGAAGTATCTCGTTTAGAGGGAAATCTACTCCGTATCAGTTGTTTCAGCCCCAGTCACATTACAACATTCCAGCATAACTAAATTAAATCGCATGTAACGATTACCAAAGACCAGCATGCGTGCAAGACAATAGGCTTACTTGCATGATGACAATATGCTCCCTTTTTTATAGGAAAACATGGATGTATCCATCCATGATTTTTTTTTTGAACAATGACTCCATCCATGTTTAGTTTCTGGCAGTCCAGGGGGTCTCTCTGATTGTGACATCTGTGATGAATTGACAATTGTTTCAACGGATCAATAACATTTCTAGTGACAAATTGCATTTTTTTTCATGCCATGATCTCGATGCCACATTTTTTAGGGGTACGATGCCACAGCTTTTGTTGTTGCACAGCAACACACTGGCACAACAAGGTTGCCTGCCATTGTATCATTATACATAAAATAAATAAATCAAAATGTGTGCATCACACCATCAATGGACAACAATATATCCATCGTTTATATAGACTTGTCATGCTGTGCAAATTCAAATTTGTTTTGATTTCTGACTTTCTTATAGCTAGCTTTTCCAAACTGATACATATATATCCATGTTTATATCCACATTATTTGTGTTTGTAATAATTCCGAATATTATCAACATCTATTTTCCTTTTTAATATTATCAACATCTCAGGTTACCAATGCCACTTTCAACACTTTACTAAACCCATATGACCAACTAGAAGTATTAATGGTCAACATGCCAGGAGTCATTTGGTTGGTTTTCTTCATCAATCTGCCGCCTCTCTGACCGCCACATATGAATGAACCGACCAATCTGGTTTGACTCGTTTTTTTGCGAGAAAACTTTCGATCTATTCATCTTCAATCATGGAAGTACAACAAACACCATAGACGAATTAGGGGCGACTACAAGTACTGAAGCGAGCGGAAGGTGCGTCGTCGTCATTACTCCTCTCTCACCAGAGTCGGGCAAAACTTATATAGTAGACAGTTGGAAAGTCATTGTGCTAAGGTCTCATAGGACCAATCTGGCTTAACTCCTCATTCAAGGTTGTTGCAGCATTAAAAAATTGTAACCAATGGATCGCATCACTAGTAGAAAAACGACCTTACATTCATCTCATTAGTCCCGATTTGACTACGGCCCGGGACTAATGTGACCATTAGTCCCGGTTCCAACGGCTAGGGCAGGGGCATCATTAGTCCCGGTTTGTGTTGAACCTCTAGTCCCGGTTTGTGTCACAAACCGGGACTAAAGGGGGGGTGGCAGACTGGTGTCAGACTTGGGCCCCCACGAGCCCATTTAGTCCTGATTCGTGTCACAAACTGGGACTAGAGGTACACCTTTAGTCCCGGTTTGTATAACCAACCGGGACTAAAGAGATCACTATATATAGTGCTTCGTCCAGCCCAAGCCGAAGCTCTCCGTTTTCCCCCTGTCCTCTCCTTTCTGTTCTTCCCCTCTTGCTCGAGCTCACCTCCATTTTTGCCAAAATTTGTCAAGATTTGAAGGCACCCCATCCATCCAAGTGTTCACAAAGGTTATCAACTTTGTCCTTTCATCTCTCATTGCTAAATTAGCTCTTGCAATGCTCTATAAGTATAGTGATTTGTGGGTTTTAGTTTGGAGTAATTATATGTGGGAGTTTATTTGATTTATATGCAATTTGAGCTCAGATTAACTTCTTAGTTTGCATATGTAGGTGTGGTTTACTTAGTGCCTTCCCATCCCCGTCCTAACCACCGTCGATTGCCCACACCGTCCCGCTGACGACACCACCTTGGTGAGCCTCTTGTTCTTATCCCTTTTATAAAAAAATCATGTTTGTGTGATTTAGATAGTTACTTGTATAATGTTCTTACTTGTATGGTTGTTTGTTATACATAGTGGCATGGTTTTGATATCATCCCCGTCGACCCTTGTCCGGTTTACGATTCAGATGTGGTATACTCTCCTTTATAACTATTTTATTGCATTTCGTGTTTATGACAATTATGCCCATCAAGTTGACATAGATATTTTTATCTAGGAGGTATGTGAACCGAAAATTGCAACCGATCCTCTTGTTGAAAAGTTAAATTTAGTTGAAAAAGGAAACGAGTATTTGAAAGAAAAATTGAAAAGAATTGAAGAAGAGAAGATGAAACTAGAGTTGTTTGTTGTCAATGTCGTCGATGATCACAAGATCAAGATGGATGCAATGCGCTTGAAGATTAGAAAGATTAGATAATATGTCGTTAATAAAGAGGCTTGGTATCACTATGATGTTGGATCAATTGTTACCTTAGCTGCGATCTTGATCGCATTTATTGTTGCATTTAAATGTTTTAGCTAGAGAGTTTGTATGTTGTTTTATGAGAATAAGTGTGTATGAACTTGTATTAATTTGGTATTTTCCGTGTTGTGTAATGAAGATGAGCCGGCAATGGATGTACGATGACCGATGCTCTCCCCAGTTCATTAATGGTGTGCATACTTTTCTGGTTGCGGTTGAGGCAAAAAAGCGGGCGAATGGTTTTATGTGGTGTCCATGCGATGTCTGTAAGAATGATCACAATTACTCTAACTCAAGAACCATTCACATCCACATGTTTACCTCCAGTTTCATGCCCGGCTATAACTGTTGGACCAAGCACGGAGAAAGAGGGGTCCTAATAGAAGAGAATGAAGATGAAGAGGATGATGACAGCTATCCTGGCCATGGGTTCCCTGAATACGATGGTACAACAATGGGGGAAGAAGCTGAAGAAGAGGCATCAGACGAGCCCACTGATGATCTTGGTCGGGCCATTGCCGATGCAAAGAGAAACTATGCAGTGAAAAGGAGAAGAAGAAGTTCTAGCGCATGTTAGAGGACCACAAGAAATTGTTGTACCCAAATTGCGAAGATGACAAGAAAAAGCTAGGTACCACATTGAAATTGCTGCAACGGAAGACAAAGAATGGTGTATCTGACAAGGGATTTGAAAAGTTGATGATAATGTTAAAGAAGATGCTTACAAAGGACAACGAATTTCCCGACAGTACTTATGAAGCAAAGAAGGTTGTCTGACCTCTAGGATTAGAGGTGCAGAAGATACATGCATGCACTAATGACTACATCCTCTACTGCGGTGAGTACAAGGATTTGAATGCATGCCCGGTATGTTGTGAATTGCGTTATAAGATCAGCCGCAATGACCCTGGTGATGTTGATGGCGAGCGCCCCAGGAAAAAGATTCCTGCCAAGGTGATGTGGTATGCTCCTATAATACCACAGTTTAAATGTTTGTTCCAAAACAAAGAGCATGCCAAGTTGATGCGATGGCACAAAGAAGACCGTAAGAAAGACGTGAAGTTGAGAGTACCCACTGAAGGGTCGCAGTGGAGAAAAATCAAGAGAAAGTGGGGGGACTTTGCAGATGATGCAAGGAACGTATGGTTTGGTTTAAGTGCAGATGGCATTAATCCTTTTGGGGAGCAGAGCAGCAATCATAGCACCTGGCCTATGACTCTATGTATCTATAACCTTCCTCCTTGGTTGTGCATGAAGCAGAAGTTCGTTATGATGCCAGTGCTCATCCAAGGCCCTAAGCAACCCGACAACGACATTGATGTGAATCTAAGGCCATTAGTTGAAGAACTTTTACAATTGTGGAATGGAAAAGGTGTACGTGTGTGGGATGAGCACAAACATGAGGAATTTGACCTACATGCGTTGCTGTTTGTAACCATCAATGATTGGCCTGCTCTCAGTAACCTTTCAGGACAGACAAACAAGGGATACCACGCATGCACGCACTATTTAGATGATACCGACATTATATATTTGGATAAATGTAAGAAGAATGTGTACCTGGGACATCGTCGATTTCTTACGATCAAGCATCTCTTAAGAAAGAAAGGCAAGCATTTAAAAGGTGAGGCAGATCACTGGAAGAAGCCTCGCCACCATACTAGTGATGATATATTTGATATGGTCAAGGATTTAAAAGTAATCTTTGGAAAGGGTCCTGGCGAACAATCTGTTCCGAATGACGCTGACGGACGCGCACTCATGTGGAATAATAAATCTATATTTTGGGACCTACCCTATTGGAAAGACCTAGAGGTCCGCTCTACAATCGACATGATGCATGTGAAAAAGTATATTTGTGTGAACCTACTAGGCTTCTTGGGCGTGTATGGGAAGACAAAAGATACATCGGGGGCACAGGAGGACTAGCAACGTATGCACGAAAAAGATGTCATGCATCCAAAGCAGTATCAGGGTCATGCTAGCTACGCTCTTACCAAAGAAGAGAAGGAAATCTTCTTTGAATGCCTGCACAGTATGAAGGCCCCATATGGCTTCTCGTCGAATATAAAGGGAATAATACATATGGCAGAGAAAAAGTTCCAGAACCTAAAATCTCATTACTACCACGTGATTATGACACAATTGCTTCCGGTTGCTTTGAGGGGGCTTCTACCGGAAAATGTTCGATTAGCCATTGTGAAGCTATGTGCATTCCTCAA